CCTTCTCTCGTTTACGAAGGCCCTTCAGCTCAGACAGTAGCTCCTGCATAGAGTGCGTCTGCTCTTCAAATTCCTTCTCTTGCTTCCTAGGTGCCTCCAATTGCGACTGCATCTCCTCCATGGAGTGGCACTGCTCCTTATACTTCTCCTCCGTGCCGCGCAGTGCCTCCAGCTCCGACTGCAGCTCCTCCAGGGAGTGGCACTGCTCCTTATACTTCTCCTCTGTGCCGCGCAGTGCCTCCAGCTCCGACTGCATCTCCTCCATGGAGTGGCACTGCTCCTTATACTTCTCCTCTGTGCCGCGCAGTGCCTCCAGCTCCGACTGCATCTCTTCAAAGATTTCCTTCTCTAGACGGAATTCGTCTACCTGTTTTTCTGTCTCCTCCGGTGGTTGTTTTAAGTGTTCTCGTTCATCGCTGGTAACTGGCAATCTTTGTACATCTTCTTGAGTTTGTTGTGCCGTTTTCAATGGTCTCTCCATATTTGCCGCACCTTCTTCTGTTAGAGAAAGAGGATTTTGTTGTCGAGTAAATTCTTCATTGTGAAGCTGATTGGTTTCTTGGCTGTCTGTATCCGGGCATGGCAATCGTAGATCTGTTCCCCTTGTTTCCCTTGAGGGAGTCATTGTCGCAGAACCTGAATAGCTTGGTTGCAGGGTTTGTAAGTCCAAGTTAAGGTTCTGACTTATTTGTCGAAGACTCTCATGATCTGTTTGGAGTTCCTGGCCGTGGCGGCATATGGCATCAAGCTTCTCAGCAATGAGTCCAAGTGAACTGAAGGTTTCCAACTGCTGCGTTTGTGAGCGACGCAGCACCAGTACTTCCCTTCGAATATCATCGCAGATGAGCCGCAACATCTCTAGTTCTTTCTCTAGTATGCTTTCAGATCTTTGTAACACCTCACATTCACCGGTAGTGGGACACGACGAATCCGCTTCCTCTAGCAGTGCCGTATGTGTGCGTCGCGGCCCCTCAAGCTGCTCAGAACCAAGACTTGCTCTGTTTATTTCCGTTGAAAGAACTTCATCGGGGCTTCGAAGTGGCTTAACCCCGACGTTTGACGTTGCATGGGCTTCGTGGGGTTCTTTAGCGTATTGACTCCTCTCTCGTAAGTCCCGGAGCTCTGCTTCAAGTATCTGAGCTTTGTGAAGTGGTGCTTCTATTTCCGATCTGGTCTCGTGGGTGTCGTAGGGACGCGTATCCAGACCATGTCTTAGAGAGACGCTTGTGGGATGAGTTGTCTCCACGTTAAGATTGGTGAGACGTAGGGCTTTCACCTCTGTCTCAAGCTCATCCTTTGCACGGGCAAGGTCCGCAAGCTCCCGCTTTCTATCGGCACTCTCAGCTGTAACTTCATCAAGCTGAGCTTGAAGCAGAGCAAGCTCGTTTTGCTTTTCCTCGACTTTGCTTACACGATCAAGAACAACAGCATTTTTTCCTTCAAGTGCCGCCTCGAGCTCCTCTTTGGCTAGGCGAAGCATTTTTACTTCCTCCTGCAGTGCGGCATCATCTCCTTTATCATCACCCGACCTCTTGAATATGTCAATGTTTTCTTTTCTGGCTCTAGTTTCACGTTCAGCGTATTGCACGGTCTTATCCAGGTCTTTGTTGGCACATTGCAGTTCCTTTTCCACCTCAAGCTGGTGCTCCAGGGCACCCTCGACTACTGCAACTTCGTCAATGTCAACGTCAACCTCTGTCGTTGCACGCTGACGCTCCCATAAGTCACTCTCCCCTGCAGTGTCGCTTATTCGAACAGTCGCCCGCTCGCCCTGCAGCTCGTCCACAAGACACCGCAGATGCGCGTTTTCTTTCCGTAGTTCAGCTTCTTCTGCGGTTGCTTTGTCAAGACTTGCCTGAAGTACGGCGACTTTTCGTTGCTTTTTTGCAAGGTCGCTTTCTCGCTCTACACCGCTTGCTCGCAGAGTTTCCAGCTCGCTTTGCAAATCATTTATGAAACGGCGCAGGCTCTCGAGCTCCTGCCGCAGAGAGACTTCAGCCGCGAATGCCTTCGCCTGTCTCCGAGGCGCCCCCTCTATTTTAGGTCCGCAGGGCGGATTACCCGGTTGTGCCGCAGTTGTCTTCACAGGCCTTTCTTTTTCTTCTTCGTCTTGCTTCATTACGCCGTGCTCCTCTACATGGCTCAACTCCTTTGACGGTAGAATTCTGCAGCATTGCGTTTTTGTGAGTTCGCGTTGATGAGGGGAGTCGCCGCTAGACCGCGCCGTTTTCGGCTGAGGTTCAGTCTCCTCTCCTGAACGGCGCGAGCTATCCGATTGAGCTTCGATCTTCTCTTTGGAATGGGACAGTTCCTCTACTTCAGTCTTGCCTAAATTTGCTTCGTGTTCATATTCCGCAAGTGCACTTCGAAGCTGGTCAAATTCCTCGTTTGCCTTGCCAAGTCCGACTTTCGCCCTGTGATGTCTGTCGTATAGCTGATTCGTCAAGCAAAATGAGTACATAGATAATAGGCGATCGATTTCAGCTGAGTTACAGTCCGTGCTATGGGTCACATCGAATTCGGCGTGTAGCTTACCTACGATGCACTTCACCTCCAACACACGCCCTGGACTCTTTCCACAACACTCAGTCAGATCACGGGTAAGCATCTGGCGAAGCTCGTGTGGGCAAGCTCGCATGACAGACTCCCAATCGTCGCCATCAAGGCAGATGTGATGACGAGTCGTCACGCACTCCAGGCTGTGCACCACTGCGTCTTCGGACAACACAGAATCGTCCCTCTGAAGCAGAGGAATTTCACACCGTGCTTCATTTGGCTTCCACTCGTCTGACATAGACATATGACTTAAAGCAAAGGGATTTTGCCCAAAATCCGCGGCGGGGCGGTGGAGTGCATCCGGTATGCCGCGTGTTTCCGGAGACGCTTCTTGTCGCATGATACCCTGAATTGTTATTTGAAGTACACTGTTGATTTGTTTTACATGACTTAGTTCCGGCTCAATTTTAGACTTGTTGGCATCAAGGTCCGTAAGTTTTTTTTCAAGAGCCTCATTGGAGTGTTGAATTTGGTTAAGCATGTCAAGAATTTCCTCAAGCTGTGTTTGGTGTTCNTTTTCAGTATTCAGTGCATCCTTGAGTCGTGCTTCAACAAGCATCTTCTCCTTTTCACATGCGTGGAGTTGCTGGATGAGCGCCTCATTTTCAACCTGAACGCTCTGCAATAGTTGGTGAAGCTCAATGTTTTCTTGATCCTGTTTTACCTTTTCTTTCTCCTCCTTCATCCGAAGACTTTTCTGGTCCTCTGCAAGGTCTTCGTGCTTTTTCTGAAGCTCGGTATACGGAGAAGAGCTGGAGCCCAATTCGCCAGCCCGACGCGTGCTGTCGCGCCCACCCTCGCCACGATGCGATGAAATGTACTCGAGCAACTCCGGTCGATGAATCGCAGCTAATTTTGCGACGTTATACGGCGTTGGAAGCCCCGTGATTATAGAAGAAGAAAGAATTGTTTTTTCCTCTGAACGAATTGGCACATCTTCATCTGTGTCACTCTCGAGCGCATGAATGTGGCGCTGTACATCCTCAATCTCACGGACGAGGCGCTCTACTTGTTCACGAGCTTGGGAATCGAGTATATCGTTTGGTGTTTTTCCCGCAGCAAAAAATTTTAATTGTGCCTGTACCCAATTGTGAAGTGGCCCCGCTGCTCGCGAAGCCTTGTGGGCAGCTTCACTGCTGATATTCATACTACTGCAGCGTTCAATAAGTTCTGTTCGGCGCTTCAGGGATAATTTTGAAGAGTCGAACTCCGACACAAGCGAAATAAACCCCGAGCGCCTGATGACGCTTTGAACCGCAGACCAAGTATAAGGATGAGGACGAGCTCCCAGAATTTCCAGGACATCGTTTAGTATTTTTTCAACAACAACTGGGGGTGTTGTATATGTCTGGACTTCTCGAAAACAGGCGCCTTCGATTCCTTTCACCATCTGCTGAGCCCGTGCAATTTGCCGTTGTATTGCGGCGGCGCGCTCCTTCTCAATGGCAGCTCTCCCACGTTGGAGTTCTTCGCAGAGCTCGAGGAGTCGACTCTTGTATCCTTCAAGTCTCTGCTCCTTATTACCCTGAATATCCCCGTGTGTAACGAAGACACGGGCAACATAATCCGTGAGAAACGTTACGACTCCCGTCTCGTAACACCATGAGTTTCCTCTCAATTCATCAAACGCGACGGAACTTCCCACCGAAATTATGTCTTCTCGGAGTGGGACAGAGAAAGTATTACTGAGCTCATTTCCTCGTTCTGCGATCATGTTTTACAACTGTATTGTTTTTATTTGTCTTTCTTTTTCCCCCTTCTTTGGTTTTCCAACAGACGTGTTCCAGTAAAACTTCGTTTTTCCACTTTATAATGATTTTTGCACTATTTTTGTCGGCGTTGCTCCAAATGATTCTTTAAGAGCTATAGCAAGATGGAAGGGGGTGGCAAATCTTTTCCACCGCCTGGTGGGGTGGCACCTTGTTTGAGTTTGCTTACCAGCCTAAATAAAAAAGACTGAATTGAACGGAAAAAAAAATCCAAAAGAAAGAAGAAATACTTGCGTGCAGAACCCCAACGGGTTTTAAAACGAGCATTATTGTATGAATAATACATGGACTCCAAAACAGGATGTGTATATTCGGTCAGTGCAGGTGACCAACGAAATGTTCATCGTATCACATCAGTGCCATGCTCAGCATTCTGAATCGTTTTTTGGTTGGCCCTCACTACGCCCAATTGAACCGTCACTGCCCTGGCGAAGGAGAAAAACCACAGACTTCGCCAATAACATCTCGCGTCGAGCCATCGAAAGATACTTACGTAGGATATCCACTTCTCCCCTGGCTTCCTCTAACTCTTTAGTCTGTGCTTGCATACATTCCGTCACCTTTGCATGAAGAGTTGAGAGTGCCTCATAATCCCCAATGAGCAACTGATGCTCTCCTTCAAGATTCTTGAAGAGGTGCAGCACATCCATCAACATCTGTTCGTCTTTTAATTTTTGCTCGTATCGTTGCGCACCAACAGACTTTCCATTACGGTTTGCATCCGAGACTTCTTGCAACAAACGCGTCTTTTCTTCCTGGAGCGAAGCCACTTTAGCCTCTAAATGTTCAAATTCAAACCGACCCTTCTTGATGATTGCCGTCTGAACGTTCAGTTTACCAACTTCTTCTTGAAGCAAATTATTTTCAATTTTACACTCCTTAAGCTCTCTCTGGAGCTGTTCACAACGCCTACTAAGAGCGGCAACTTCTTCATCCGGGTCACTCGTTAACGTTCCATCAAGTGAAATCAACTGACTATGCGAAACATTCCATCTCTGTGAGGGTGTCGTATCACTATTATCATCACCACAAGAAAGGACATCCCCGTTCCTTTTGGGTCGGGCCAATGAAACTTGCTTGTCAGAAAAAATGCCCTCAATGACCTGCAAGCATGAAGAAGATATATTTTGAACCGTTTCTGTCCTCCGCAAAAGCCGACCCGACAATATCAGCTGAACATCGCTTTTCAACTCTTGACGTCGCATCTGCGCCTTTCTGATTCCGTTAACGCAGGCATCTATTTGTTGTTTCATTTCGGCGTTATCCGTCGAAAAAAACTGGGCCCTCTGATAATCAAGGTAAGCGGTAACCCATTTTTGCAAAGCACCCACAGCACGAGACTCCCGTGTGCAACTCTCAAAAGAAAACAAGGGGTGTGCAACGTATCGGTCCAAAATTGATTTATACAGATCCTCCCCTATAGGTCTATTGTCAAGGTGACAGAGTGTGTCAACAAAGGAGTTGCTTGAGATGGTACGCTGCACCATCTTCCAGTCCCTGGCAATATCAGAGTTCCGTATTATTGTCACAACAGAGTCGCAGACCAGTCTTGACGACTCTGACACAACACTTAGGCCACTTACATGGAGCCATTGCTTCCTTTCGATGGCGCGCAATCGCCTTTTCGCCCACTGAAGCAGTGTGTGTTCAAGAATAGCAGAGGAACCACCAGATACCCTAGCATCACATTTTTCTCGCAAACGCTTAAGTTTTGATTGCAAACTCTGAATAACGGCATCCTCCTCGGCGATGCGACGGCGCTTGTGATCTAGCGTTGAGACCTCCAAACTTTCGGCGTATTCCACCACTTGCATCATGTGACCCTCTGCACCAACAACACAACCGTAGCATGTGCCATCCTTCTCGCTATTGTAAAAGGCCACCACCCTTCCTAGAAAGGATTCTGGCTTCATGCATAAAAAGGAAAAAAAGAGCTAAAGGCGAAAGAAAAAAACGTATCACCATAAGAAGGTGCTAGCGATTAAGAAAAAAAACTACACTTAAATGTAAACATGCAGCTCCCTTTTTCACCATTTTTTTTTCCAACAAGAAAAAGACGTACTATGGCGTTGATGGAAAGCATCTACTCCTGTTCCTCAAACACATCCTTCATGGCATAAGACCATCCGCACTATGCTACTGTTCAATCTAAATGGGTTGAACACAAACAGGGAAATAAAATAAAAAAATTCTCTACCAGATGAATTCGTGAATTTTGGTTGATTCTTTTTCTTGCTCATTTTCTTTTCCCACTACAATGAAGCATGTTTGTCGGAATAGAAAAAAAAAACATCCCACATAACTACATCACCATTCCCTTTGTTTCATACAGATAAAAAAAAGAGATAAACAGGTGCCCTAATCATAGAAAGTTCACATTTATTGACGATTGTTCATGGTCATCATAACGTCGGCATGATGCAAGTCTTCTGGTGAACTTACCTCAACTCGCCTCAGTAATTCATTGAAGCGCAGTTTTTCATCCTCAATTTCTGCTTCAGTAGGAACTGTCATCTTACCAAAGTCATCACTTTGCATGATAACTTCGACTTGAGCTGCCCTTCTTGCATCCCTTGTTCCAGGATTCTGCGCCACAATGGCAATACGTTGCCGAGGGACACCACGATGCAATGTAGCCATTGTAAAAGAAGCATCTCCAATATGATATTCGCGTGAACTGGTCTTTGGCTTGTAAAAAACATGAAGAGTGATTATGTCTTCATCTGGCTGCGCGAGATAAAATACAAAGGTTTCATCAAATCTTATGACAGACGCTAATTCCTTTACAGACGTCTTATACTTTTCCTTCACTGATTTGACCTTAATAATGATGAATCCAGGCTCTGTAATAGGCCTTCCGTTCCTTAAAACATCGGATAGTTCGACAATTGTGACGGCAAGGTGTGCTCCATCAGCAACAACAGTCCTTTTTCTTTCTTCCGATGTCTGAGTGGTCGGTTGTGAATAGACCAAATGCTCCATGGAACGGCGACGCGCACTACTTCGCGGTGTTCTGGGTGAAAAGCCTCCTGAGGAACGGCCACGAGAATCCTGTTTTTCATCCTGAAGCGCAACGAGCTGCTTCCACAACCCATCATTTGCTTCCCTCATGGTGGCCAGTTGATCATTTAATTCCTGAAGCCTCTTGTCTCTTCCCTTTGCAAGCCCATTCATATCAGCTTTCTTTTGTGCGACAGCTGCCTCAAGCTTCCGCATTCGGTCTTCCATAACACCGTCCTTTGGTGTATCTGTTTGCTTTCGCTGATTGAATTCATCTTCTTTCAAACGATTCTCCAACATACCCAGGCGATCCTGAAGATCCCGTATTTTGTCGTCCTTTTGCTTAATAGCATGCCTCAAATCGTCAACTTGGTCAGCAAGACGGTCTTTTTCAGCTTGGAATTCGTTGATATCCCTCTGGCGCTGCTCTTCTCGTTCATCAAGGCTTCTAATATGTCCACGTAGTTCTTCTTCTTTTACATGTTGATCGCCATTCCCAAGCATGGAGACCAAATCAGCATTTTGGCGAGACAATTTTTGTAAGTGTCTTTTTGTTTCTTCTTCGTTTACCCATACAGCTTCAAGTACCCGCATAACATCCTCCACAGACTCCATTTTGTCTTTCGCCAGCTTATCCACAACTACTGGTTCACCTTTGCTCCGGAAACGCGAGCTCTGCTCATTTTCCTTCAAAATGGGCTCGTGATGCTCTTGTAAGTAGTCTTGTCCCGATCCCTTTCCTGAATTATGCCCAGACGCGCGCTGCCGAACACTCTCAGCTTGAAGAAGTTCCCCAATTTGAGCCTGTTGTTCACTTTGTCGAGCCTCATGAACAGCAAGTTGTTGTTCATGAGCAGCCTTTGATACTGCAATCTCTTCTTCGTAACGCCTCAGGGAATCGCGCAACCTTTGGTTTTCTTGCAAGGTCCTCTCTCTATCTTCGTCGGCATACAAATCTCCTCTATTTTCCCTGTCCAGTTTGACAATTTTGGGAACTGTAGGATTATTCGGCGCTAATGCCAAAAGTACCTCAAGTTCCTTAATACGAACCTCATGTTCATTTGCCCTTTCCTCAACGCGGAAATTCCTGTCTTGCAGTCGATCAATTTCTTCTTGAAGCTTTTCGTTTTCTTTGGAAACATCCATATATTTCTGGTTGATATTTTGATTGAGTACTTCAAGCACCTCAATCTTTCTTACCTTTGTTCTTAGATCCGCTTCAAGTTCATTGATGCGATCCTCTCCATCGTCCAGAACAGATTCCTCGACAGGAACATTGGGAATTGCTCGGCTTGGCCTTCGTTCTCCTCGAAAAGCCGTTACCTCCTCTTTAAAAGAAGCCAATTGATCTTGAAAAGCACGATAAACCTCTTTTCCACCCTGGTCTTTACTACCCTTCAAAGAGTTGATTTCGTTCCGCAATGCATTTTCAAGTTGCCACCATTCCCGGTCCTTGTTACGACATCGTTCCTCTGAAACACGCAACTTTTCTTCCAGCTCAGCAATATCTTCTTTGAGAAGAGCTTGTTGAAGTTGCTGCTCAGTTCCACGTTCCTTCACGTCTCGGCTCTCTCGTTGTTGTGTGGCACCATCAAAACGTTGTACGGATGAAAGCAATTCTTCGTATTCCTGCAAAAGCCTCCCTCTTTCGCTATCCCAAGCTTCTTTAGAAACTGTCCATTGATGTTGCTCTTCACGTAGGCGTTCCTCAATTTCGCCATTGCGCTTTTTGAGGGCAGATATTTGGATTTCAGCTTTCTCTTGCTGTTCAAGAAGGCCCTTTGTCCTTTGTTCAAGCTGTTGTTCTCGTTGGTTTGCCTTGTTGAGTGTCGCACGGACTTCTTGAAGTTCAGATTGCAGCCTGCTGTTTTCTTCTATTAGCTTTACTGCCTCCACACGCACTGTTGAACTGCTGCTGCTTCCCCCTTCGGCTGTCTTCAGCTTCACAAGAAGAGAGTTATTCTCTTCTTCAAGGACCCTCGCATTTCTGTTAGCCAAAGACAACTTGTCTTCGACATCGCTGAGTTCTTTGAGTTGAGCCCTCAAATCTCGGATACGTACTTCCTGCTCATACTCATTAAGTTCCTTCGCCGCAAGGTCCTCCTTTAATTTGGCGCAAGTGTCGTTAAGCTCATCCGTCTTCTGTTTGTATTCGAGAACTTTACGCTGGAGCCAGTCAGTAGATTGTGTTTCCATTTCTTTTTTTTT